CTGCCAAGCCGGTGAGATTCCACTCGGGGTGGGTTCAGCAGCCCGCAGGTGGCTGCTGAGAGGTGGGGCTGGCCCCTGCCCCACACCCCGACTCTGGTGCTGTTGCACTCGGGCGTGTCTGCCTGTCCCGGACACGTCCTTCCTGGACCTAGAGCCCTGTGGCAGCTCTGTGGCCCTTCTGCCCCTGTGACTTGGTGGGGCTGTGCTTAGAAGTCGCTCCGTGTTCTGGGGTCCCTGCGCGTGCCTGGCTGCGTCTGACCCACCTGCAGCCTGTGCACTGACCCCCTGACCTCTGTGCTGCAGGTCCTCTGTTGGTCTGGGGGTCCTGGTGGGGGGACACCTCACAGGCACCGCCCCTCCCCCGTCCTTCCCCTGCGAGGCTCCTGGGAGCCCTGTGGCTGCCGTGCACCTCACACTCGGTTCTGGGGGCCGAGGTGCAGGGGTGTGGGCTCCTGCTGGCGCCAGTGGGGGGATCCCCCGGCCCCTCCAGCCTCTGCTGCCACACGAGCGGCTCCTCTCTGGACCTCTGTTGGCCTCTTCTTACGGGGACACCAGTCACTGGACTGAGGCCCCACCCTGATCTGGGATGACTTCTCCTCCAGATCTGTCATGAAGGACAGCAGCAGAGACCCTCCTTCCAAATAAGGTCCCACTGGCAGTCCCCGGGGACACGGGACACAGGGCTTCTCAGGTGGGCCTGAGGCTGGGCCCAGGGCTGGGCGGCGCAGTGTGAGGACCCTGTGCCGTCGTGGGTTGGCCTGTCCTGGGTCGGCCTGTGCTTGTCCTGCTTGGGTCACCCCATCTGTCCATCCCGGGAGCTGGGGCAGCGAGGGGGACTGCCCATGGCCTCCATTTGCCTTCCAGGGGGGTTGTCACGGGCAAGGAGCTCGCACAGTTGTCCAAGGTGACCAGAAGTTGATGGGCTTGGAGAGGGGCTGGCCCAGGCAGGACCTGGCGAGGCGGTGGCGGGGTGTTGGGGCCTGTGGGGCCTGGACGCTGGGACACGGTCGTTGGCCGAGGTGAGTCCCAGGCTGGGTTGGCACCTCCCGTTTCTGCTTGGAGACCGAGACAGGCCCTGGCCCTTTCTCAGGGACACCCGGGGACCTCAGGACAGGCGGCAGCGCTGCTCCAGGCCCCCCGTGGCGGGAGCACGAGGGCCACACACCCAGACGCTTCGCTCGGTCCGAGCTGAGAGTCCGTGGGAAGCTCTGAGCAGCCACGGCCGCAGTCATTTCTAGAAACTGGGTTTTCCTGCGGCACTGCGTCCTCCGTGTGATGTCGCACGTGAAACAGATGGAAAGGAACAGGCTGACGCCTTTGTTCCTACACACGCTGTTTCGCAGGTGACTCAGTGCCGCGGTGTAGTTTCCACCTTCTTCCAAGGAATAAACAGCTGTGAGTGTGGGGCGTCTGGGCCACGTCAGGCAGGTCTGGCGCTAACTTGGGGTATCTGGTGGATTTGGGGGGTCTAGGCCATATCTGGGGACATCTGGGCCACATTGGGGGAGAGTCCCGGAGAGTCTGGGCCATGTCTGGTGGATCTGGGCTATTTCTAGGGGGTCTGGGCTATTTCTAGGGGGTCTGGGCTATTTCTAGGGTGTCTAGGCTATTTCTAGGGGGTCTGGGTCCTGTCTAGGGGGTCTGGGCTGTGTCTAGGGGGTCTGGGTTGTGTCTAGGGAGGTCTGGTGGATCTGGGCTATTTCTAGGGGGTCTGGGTCGTGTCTAGGGGGCTCTGGGCCGTGTCTAGGGAGGTCTGGGCTGTGTCTAGGGAGTCTGGGCCGAGTCTAGGGAGGTCTGGTGGATCTGGGCTATTTCTAGGGGGTCTAGGCTACTTCTAGGGGGTCTGGGTCGTGTCTAGGGAGGTCTGGGCCATGTCTAGGGAGGTCTGGTGGATCTAGGCTATTTCTAGGGGGTCTGGGTCGTGTCTAAGGGGGTCTGGTGGATCTGGGCTATTTCTAGGGGGTCTGGACTGTGGTGGATCTGGGCTATTTCTAGGGGGTCTGGGCCATGTCTAGGGGTCTGTGCACTGCCCCCCAGACCAGGCCATCCTCCAGAGAGCAGGGCCCTGGGCCATGTGCATAGCATGTCCTATGTGCTTTTCCTCTGAGTTGAGAAAACATCTCTTGGAACTTTCTGGATTTGTACACAGTTGTTCTGCCTGAAAAGGTGCTCACGAGCTGTGCCTTTCTCAGCACAGGAAGTCCTTGAGAACCTGAAAGACCGCTGGTACCAGGCGGACAACCCCCCCGCAGACCTGCTGCTGACCGAGGACGAGTTCCTGTCGTTCCTGCACCCGGAGCATAGCCGGGGCATGCTCAAGTTCATGGTCAAGGAGATCGTCCGGGACCTGGGTGAGGCCTGTCCCCACGGCAGGGGGCAACTGCTAGGTTTGGGCTAACCCTCACGGGCGGCTCGGCAGCCTTCGGGCGTCTCACGCGAGGTCCCATCCCCCGCCCCGCAGACCAGGACGGCGACAAGCAGCTGTCCCTGCCCGAGTTCATCTCGCTGCCCGTGGGCACCGTGGAGAACCAGCAGGGCCAGGACGTGGACGACAACTGGGTGCGGGATAGGAAGAGAGAGTTCGAGGAGCTGATCGACTCCAACCACGACGGGATCGTGACCCCTGAGGAGCTTGAGGTAGGCGCTGCGGGGAGGGGCGTCCCCAGTGTCAGGCCCTGGGGCCTCTGGGGAGCCTGGGCTGCCTTTAAGGGGAGCCACCTGGGCTCCCACCTCACCCGGGGCCCGCTGGGGCGGCTGTGAGACTCGGCAGCTCCGCCGCTGGGTCTGGCGGGTCACTTGGCGGGTCACCAGGCCCTTCGCTCAGCGGCGTCCTACGGCGGGCTCCCAGACGCGGAAGGCGCAGTGCGTCTGTGCCTGCCCTGGCCGGCTCCGGCGCTGTCCAGGGGAGGTGTGGGCGACTCTGTGGCTCCTTTTTCACGGGGCCGGGCGGGAACACTCAGGGTGGACGGGTTCTGAAGCGACCTCTAGGCTGATGCCACGTGTGGGGCCTCGGGCGTGGGCGTGGCTGCCTTCTGTCACTCGTGGGTTGGAATCCACAACCTTCCTCTGAAGCGTTTTCACCAGTATTGAGTTTGGGGCTTGTTTTTCTCCTGCTGCCAAATGAGTCATTGCGTTTTACGCCAGAATCTTCTCACCCTGCTGACAGCCCAGGGCAGGCGGGGCTTGGGGATCCCGCCAGGGTCGGCCTGGAGGCGACCTGGCCCTCCCTGCCCAGTGGCCGATTCAGTCCCTGTGACCTCTGTTGGCCCTGGGCAGGCCTTAGCTTCTCCCTGCCCTGTGTCCTTCCCGTGCATGGCGTCTCCCTTCTGGAACGTTCCAGAATGCATCCACATTCCCATCCTGCAGCCCATGGGTTGTTTTCACCAGAAATCCCTTTCTGCGGGTGGGGATGGTGTCAGAGCCACTGCTCACATAGACCGGTGTCCCTCGTAGCCATGGCCCGAAGTGGGGACAGCTGGGTTGGGCTGAGCGGGGTCCTCCACGATCACGGGGTACAGGTTGGGGACCTGGTGAGGAACAGGGACGAGATGCCCCCAGGAGCCCCACCTGGTGGGCCTTGGTGGCTGGTGGGCGTGGAGGGTGGCTGACCTGCGCCCGGCGCCCGCTGCAGAACTACATGGACCCCATGAACGAGTACAACGCCCTCAACGAGGCCAAGCAGATGATCGCCATCGCGGACGAGAACCAGAACCACCACCTGGAGCCCGAGGAGGTCCTCAAGTACAGCGAGTTCTTCACGGGCAGCAAGCTGATGGACTACGCCCGCAACGTGCACGAGGAGTTCTGAGCCGCCGGCCCCTGGCTCCTTCCTGACCCCGCACACCCCTCGAGGGAGGTGCCTCTGCGCTGCGCTGTCCGGAGCTGCCCTCCCTCCTGCTGCCCCCACGCGGCAACGCCCGGCCCCCTGCAGGTGAGCTGCTGCAGGCCACCGGCCCGCCCCAGTCGCGTGGCCGCAGCAGCGCAGTGCTCAGCGGCGTCTCTGTCCTGCGGTCCCCTGAAATCGCTGCATCTCGCTTCTGAGAACTGCTCAGGGTCGCTCTGCCGAAGGCCCTGACCACATCAGGGCAGGAGGCCCTCAGCTGGGCCCCTTCAAGGGCCCTGGGGCTAACGCGCCTCGCGCCGTTTCCTTGAAAACGGACAGATTAACCAGAACCAGGTGTGCTGAGCTGGAGAGGAGCGGCCAGGGGTTCAGGGGAGGACGCCTGCTCCTTCCCAGGGCTGGGTGTGTCCTGGGTGGGGTGCTCCCTGGCACGTCAGAACCACCCTGAGAAAATGCAAATATTTGCTGTAACAGGAATCACATTGCTTACTTTGAAACATAGTTGTCTTTTTCTCTCAGCTTCGATGGGTGAAAATAAAACACAAAACAAAATCTGGAACATCTGTGGCCCGGTGGCTTCCATTTGAGGTGGGCAGTCTGGTTAACACAGAGGGCTCGTGGCTCTCGCCGAGCACCCTTGTGCCTGATCCTCCCGTCCCAACCTGGGGGCCGTCAGCGTCTGGGGGCCCCAGGGGCTGCCGTGTTTACGAGAAGGGGTGGGGGCCGCAGGCAGGCGGGCAGGTCGAGTTGGGGGTCTGGGCTGGGCGTGTGAAGTCAGGAGCCAGAGCTGGCGGGTCTGGGTGGTCCCAGGGCCCAGCCCGGGGCCAGAGAATGGGAGTGTGAGGACAGCTCGGTGTAGCAGTGACGGCCCAGGGTCTGTGTCCCAGCTCTCCAGGCAGGAACTCGGGGCTCCCAGGAGCACCCCCTCCTCTGCCTGCCACGTGACCCACGTGCTAGCAGTGTGGAGCTTTCTGCAGGGCTTCTCAGAGCCACGGCCGGGGTGCCGGTGGGGGGAAGGTCCCTGGTGGGGGGAAGGTCCCTGCAGTCCCTGCTGTGGGCTCCCCTCTCAGCTCTTGTCACCGTGGGCCGTGCAGGGAGGGTCACTGCATTGTGTGCTGTCCCGAGGGGACGCACCCCAGTGGTGGGCCGTGTGAGCTGAGGCCACGCTGGGTGCACAGCCGGGGTGACATCAGCTCCCCTGACACCACTGTGCTGAGAGGGGAGCCCAGCCCCGGGGCGTCCAGCTCCCGTAGGTGCTGAGGCCGTCTGCCCGGGACCCCAACCCCTGGGCGAGTGTCCCCAACTCAGTGGACACAGCAAGACTTTCCCCTGCCGACACCTCTGACCTGTGACCTGCACCCAGGACAGCTTCCCGCGGGAGAAGGTGCGGCCCAGGGGCCCGCTGCAGAGTGGTCTAGGGTGCAGGTGAGGCTCAGGCCTCTGTCACCCCTGGTCACCTGTAGCTGATGCGGCCCCTCAGCCAGATGTGTGTGGCCGTGGGCAGCAGAGAGGCCCCCACGTGAGCCCACAGGGAGGAAGGGGGAGCCCCGGTGTGGAGTGGTGCCACCAAGACCCCACGCTGATCTGGACCTCAGAGGAACCACTTGCAAATGCGAGATTTTTCTCACTGTCAGTGGGAGGCAAGGTTTGAGAGCTGGATCCAACCTTCCAGAAAATGCCAGAAGTTTCCTCATTTGCCCACCCGGGTGGGTCGCTCACATGTAGGCGTTGTCTGGGGTGCTCGGAGCCCCTGCTGATCCCGGGGCCCTCCTCGCACACCGGGGGCTTGGGGAGGGTGGCTGGGCCGGGGAGCTGCCGCCTGCCCCACCTCCCCCTGTGGAGCCTGTGCTGGGGACTTCCCCGCAGGTGGGCCGAGGGGAGGCACCTCTCTTACCTGAGCTCCTGGCAGGAGGGGATTTCCAGCCACTCACCCTGCCTGGGAAGGGCCTCTCCACTTGCAATTGCTGAAGTTGACTTCTAAATAACCGTGTCATGGCCACCAGGCAGAAGGTGCAAAAGGGACACTCCAGGCCCCCCGTGTCCAGGCCCAGGCCCTTCCTCGGGGTGGCCGTGTGGTCAGGGCAGTGTTGCGTGTGCATGGCGTGTACGCACGTGTGCTCAGCTGCATCGGCACGGCCTCACGCCCTACTCTGACCTTTGTTGCCTCCTTAGAGGCCCCACCTCCAAACGCAGCCACACTGCGGGTTAGGGCTTCCACGTGGATTTGGGGGGACACAGATCAGCCCATAAACACCTACCCTGCTCAGGCACACTAGGCTGCTCGAGATGCACACGCACACGCGTGCACACAGCCACGCACACGTGTACGTGCTCAGTGTGGGCCTGGTCACCAGGCGCCAGGTGGCCACTCTGAGTCTGAGCTACTCTTAGACACCTGAAGAGATCCCCCCAAAGGTCCAGACAGGGTGGGAGGGGTCTTGCTGACTCATGCCTTAGTTTACCCATGTGCTCTGTGCACCTTTTTGCTGAGGGGATGAGTGGTGGCGGGACAGTGAGCCTCGAGGGGGCCCCCAGGAGCCCCCCGGGCTGGGAGGTATGGCCAGGCTGGGGGGGCACCCGGCCAGATGGAGCAGGAGGGATCCTCGGTTTGCGGTGGGCACAGCCCAGAGGGCCTCGGGGCCTGGCCGTGCCCTGGCTGCAGGTGGCCTGGGGTCCTCGTGTGCGGCTGGGGCACAGGGCAGGACAGAAGCCCCGTGGCTGGGAGGACCCCACACAGGCTGCTTTCTGCAGCCAGCTGGGGTTGGGGTCGCCAGCCTGCCTGGGCCACTTCCTGCTCCTCCTGCCCTCCTGCCCTGCCCCTCCCACAGCCCTTATAGCCACATCCTGCAAGGAAAAACCCAGACTCGTGATCGGCGGAGACGAGGATGTGTGTGGGGGTTCGGCAGCCAGGGCCCCACGCGCCGGGCTCAGTCCTGCTGCTCCTGGTGCTGCTGCTGGGCGCCGCGGCCCGGCTCAACTGCCCCGGGGACATGTACCCCCGTGGCGGCCGGTGCTGCCCCGAGTGCCAGCCAGGTAAGGCCAGCCCTGGGGGGCAGGGGGAGGGGGCCTCTGCGGGGCTGCTCCAGGGGACCTGGACCCAGGCCTGGGGCCGTGGGCAGCCGCAGAGCTGGTCCTGGAGGGGGCAAGGGCCCTGCCACGGCCCAGAGAAGCCAGTGCAGTCCCCGGGCCGGGCCGGCTGCTGACCGTGCCGCCTGCTGACCGTGCCGCCCGGCCTCCGCTACAGGCACCGGGATGGTGAGCCGCTGCGACGGCTCCCGGAACACCGAGTGCCAGCCGTGCAAGCCCGGCTTCTACAACGAGGCCGTCAACTATGAGCCCTGCAAGCCCTGCACCCTGTGCAACCAGCGTGAGCCACCCTCCCTTCCCTTCCCGCCCCGCCCTGCGCCAGCGGTGGGGCAACCGCGGTGCCCTGAGGCTGCACAGCCCCCCACAGCCGCAGAAGCAAACCCCAAACCACAGGGGGCCAAGCGCCTCCCGTGCACATCCCTCCTCGGGGGCTGAGGCTCAGCGGAGGCCACGTAGAGTCAGCGTGAAGAACGTTGTTCACGTGGCCTTGCCTCATGGCCGGGTGGGGAGGCTGGGAGCCGGGCTCCAAGGAGGGCCCAGCTGCAGGCTGGGGGGCGGGTGCTGGGGTGCCACAGGCCGTCCAGGGGGAGGACCCCAGCGGGGGGCGGGGGCGCCCGGGTCCTGGGTACCTGTGCTGCACCTGCCTGACGCCTCCCCTCCCCCTGCGCAGGAAGCGGGAGTGAGCCCAGGCAGAGGTGCACGGCCACGCAGGACACCCTCTGCCGCTGCCAGGCCGGCACCCAGCCCCTGGGCGGCTACAAGCACGGAGTCGGTGAGCCTCTGGGTGGCGGGGTGGGGGTGGCACGAGTGTGCGTGGAGTGGCTGGGGTGGGGGTACCCCGATCCCAGGGAGGAGCCGGGGCCCCACCGTGGCGCAGACGGCCTTCGATCCAACGTCACAGGCCAGAGCCTCCCCTGCGTCACCGGGACGGGCTCCTGGCTCAGCCCCTGGGTCAGGGCCTGCAGCGGAACCTGGGCGGGGAAGGCTCCAGGGGCCAAGCCCAGACACCCCCAGAGTGAGGGCCGCTGGCCACAGGCGGCTGAGCCTGTCCTGCTCCATTGCAGACTGCGCCCCGTGCCCCCCAGGCCACTTCTCCCCGGGTGACAACCAAGCATGCAAGCCCTGGACCAAGTGAGTGCATGGCCCAGGGTGGGGCGGGGGGGCCACAGATTGGGGGGCTCTGGGGCCCGGTCCCCGATGGCCGACCGCACCCTTGTTCTCTGTGGTGCCAGCCCCTCCCTGGGGGTGGACTGGGGCGTGCGGGACGCCGGCCCAGGCCTGGGAGCATGTGTGAGACCCTCACTTGTCCACACTTGGAGCCTCCCCCCAGGGCTCCCATTCCAGGTTTGGGAGCACAGAGGCCGCCGGGACTGGGGGGGCGGCTAGGGCAGGGGCGAGGGCCTGGGGTGCAGGAAGGCCATGTGGCTTTGGAGACCTCTGCAGGGTGGGGGACCCGGGGCCTGCACAGGTTCCCCGGCTGGCTTTGCCTGCGGTCTGAGGCGGATGGTCCCTGCGGCGACCCCTGTCATGTCCCGGGGGTCTCGGGCCTGACCGGCGCCCCTGCCCTCCTGAAGCTGCACCGCGGCGGGGAGACGCACTCTGCGGCCGGCCAGCAACAGCTCAGACGCCGTCTGTGAGGACAGGAGCCCCCCGGCCACACGGACCCCGGAGACCCAGCGCCCCCCCGCCAGGCCCATCACTGCCCAGCCCACCGCGGCCAGGCCTGGGACGTCACAGGGGCCCTCCACACCCCCCTTGGTGGCCCCCAGGGGTAAGGGACCCTGGGCTGACCCCAGCCGGGGGACGGGGAGTAGGGGAGGCTGGGGGGCTGCCCTCTGACCACGCCGGGGCCTCCTCCCCTCAGGCTCTGTGCTGGCCGCTATCCTGGGCCTGGGCCTGGGCCTGGGGGTGCTGGCCCCCCTGGCTGTGCTGCTAGCCCTGCACCTGCACCGAAGGGCCTGGAGGACACCCCCGGACGCCCCGAAGGGCCCTGGTGAGTGCCCGTGTGAGCCCAGCCCAACCCATGCCAGGAGCGCGGAGACCCCCCTACCCACAACCCCCATCCCTCCCTCTTCCCTCCTCCCCAGGGAGAAACAGCTTCCGGAAGCCCATCCAAGAGGAGCAGGCCGACGCACACTCCTCCCTGGCCAAGATCTGAGCCGCGTCCGCTGGGGGGGCTTGCACCCCTCCCAGGTGGGGCCCTAGCTTGTCCGTGGGGCTGTGGGGGGCAGAGGGGGCGCCCCAGGTTCAGGCTGCCACACCTGCCCCCGTGCCGGCCCTACACCCACCACCGGACCTAGGCTCGCCGCTCCGTTCTAGGTGCGCCTGGGCGGGCTCCCGGGCTCTGCTACGTATGTTGTGCATACTCCCCGCCCGGGAAGCACCCCAATAAACACGCTGACAGACACGCATCTCTGACTGGGCATGAGTGGGCTGGGGGCCGGTGCTCGGGTGGGGACCTGGGCTTGCCGGAACTGCTCGGAGACCGGCCCCTGGGCGCACCCAGCAAGGTGGGCTGGGGACCGGCTGAGGAGCCCCCTGTGAAGGTGTGGGTTGTGCGGACACATAGCCGCCGCTCCAGGATCCTAGAGCCTGGGCCGGGGACGCAGCTGACGGGGGAGGGGCCCAGGTGCTGCTGAGGGCAGGTGGGCACCCGGCAACCTGGTGGGCACCCAACAACCTGGTCGCCAAAGGGGCCCCTTGTGTACTCGAGGGAGGGAACACACGCACCTGCTCCTCTCTCCGCGCCCCACACCCTGCGACACCTTGTCGGGGGTGGCCCCAGGACCCCCACTGGGGGCCACCCTGGGAGTCCCAGGGGACAGCACCGCCCCCTGTGTCCCTGCAGTGGAGGTGTCTGGCGGGACACCCACTTTGGAAGATGAGGTTTCTGATGAAGCGAACCTTCTGTCCACTCTGGACACAGCCAGTCTGCTCCTGGGCATTCGCCCCACAGGAGCCAGTGGCTGGGACGTGAACAAGGGTGTCCATGGGACTCAGTGGGGGAAACCCAAACATCCGCCAGAATGAGCTGCAGCGTATTTGGATGGGCCCCCGTCGGGCACCAACTCAGCACTGAGGGAAGGATTGTGGACGGGACCCCAGGCTGAAGCCCCGAGGCCCCGGAGCTGCCCCTGCTGCACGGGGTCCTCTCAAGCAGCACAGGTGCACAGGTGCACAGGTGCAGGGCTGGACCCGGGGCACAAGTCCCCTAGAGGCGGCAGCTCAGAGAACAGAAGCAGAGGCCGGCCGTGGTGGCTCACGCCTGTAATCCCAGCACACTGGGAGGCCGAGACGGGCGGATCCTTTGAGCTCAGGAGTTTGAGACCAGCCTGAGCAAGAGCAAGACCCCGTCTCCACCAAAAATAGAAAAACATTAGCCGCGCACGGTGGCACATGTCTATAGTCCCAGCTACTCGGGAGGCTGAGGCAGCAGGATTGCTTGAGCCCAGGACTTTGAGGTTGCTGTGAGCTAGGCTGACGCCACGGCACTCTAACCTGGGCATCAGAGTGAGATTCTGTCTCATACACACAAAAAAAGATGGACCAGGATATGTGTGTGTCCCACACGGAAAGCCTGGAGGGGGTGGCATGTCTGTAAAGTGCTTAAGAGCTGTTAGGGTCCGAGATAAACACCCTGATGTGCTAAAAGGTGTCACCCTGACATGTGAGCAGAAAAGCAGAGCCTGGCCCGGACTTTCTCCGTCAGACCAGGGTGCTCGAGCTGGCCAGTGGGAGCAGCCCCTCAGCCTGCCTCTGTGCCCTGGGGCCACCTGGCCCTGTGGCTGTCGGCACCACACAGCCCAGTCCTGGCAGCGCCCCGCTCAGTGTCCCTGGGGCCGGCCCTTCCTTCTGTCCAGCCCCCTGGCAGGACTTGCTTCTCCCACCACCGCTGGCAGGGCAGGGAAAGGGGCCCACTCTCTGCATGGGGCAGGGTCCCTTGTAGCCGCAGCGAGCAGTCCCTGACCCCGGGTGGCCCCGGACTCCGCCCATCTGCATTCTTTCTCTTCCCCACGAACCTGCAAAAGGCAGGCAGGGCCGTCCTGCCGTCCACTCTGCTGCAATGGAGACCACGGGCAGCCCCTGCGTGGTAGGGGCAACGGGGCACAGATCTGCACCTCGAGAGCAGCCTCTGGGGAGGGCAGGAGGCCGGGCATGGAGGAGGGCCTGGAGGTGGGTGGGGACGGGCGGCCAAGGTCCCAGAAGGTCGAAGGTCATGGGAAATGGGAAAGGGGCCTTCTCCCTAAACTTCGCCGGCACACCCACCGCCTCCTTCCCGCCAGGCATAGCCCTCCACCCCCAGGCCACCTGGTGCCTTTCCTCAGCCAGGGCACCACTGCCCCCTGCCCCCAGACAGACATGGGTCACCTCCTCCCGCTTTTATGCTGTCCCTAAGCCCACGCCCCCTTCCCGCCCCCTTCCACGCCCCCTGCACCCGACACCTGTCTCTGCGGAAAGCTCCTGGACTGGCTCCACCCCAAGCCCTGCCGGGGCTAGAGGGCTCCCGTCCCCTTGCCCAGTCCTGCCGTGGTGCTGACCGGCTCTCCACCCAGCATCGGGACACCCGGCCCTGTGGGACGCTCCACTGCGTGCCCACGTGCCGCTTGTGTCATCCGAGATAAGAGATGCAAGCATAGGATGAGTTACAAAATACTGGAAAATAAAGACGAGCTGATAAAAATCTCCTATGGCCCCACGAAAACACTCATTCGCCAAGAGCCGCAGAGGAGCAGGGTGCCCAGGAGGGGTCTTCCGGAGCAAACGGGACAGGAAGGCAGACGTGGGCTCCCAGTCACGGACGTCTCCTCCCCTCCCCCCAGGCCCCTGCTTGCCAGCCCTGAGAGCCCTGATGTCTGTGCTCACACGTGGCCGCAGCCCGGCTGGTGGACGCCTGCCCTTCTGAGACCAGACGCAGCACCAGGGACCCCCCCGGGGGATGCCCCCGCCCTGCAGGAAGCTGCTCATGGGCTGGTCAAGGTGTCAGCTCCTGTCCCTGTGCCCCCTAAACCACTGTCCTCCTGACTCTGCCCATACTTCCGGAAGGACCAACTGACACGCCAGGCCTGATAAGCATCATTTACAGGGGACGTGTCCTACCTTCTTAGGCTGCAGTGCACTGATGTTCACCACAACGGGGGGGGGGGGTGGCCCTGTGCTGGTGCAGACCTCTTAGGTCTTTCCAATGGGCAGGGGCAAGGTCCAGGCTGCTCCGGTTCTCCTCCCCGGACACCTTTACCTGGCGTCTAGGTGTGGTCTTGTGGCTTCTCTTTCTATTCAAACGCTCAGACCGACCTCCCGGTCTAGGGGCTGAACAGAGACCTCCCGCACCCCCCCCCCCGCAAGTGGGCTGCCCCGGTCACGGCTGGCTGCCCCCTCTCTCTGAGCCCCTGGGCAGCCTGGACGGCAGCCCGCCCTGGGGACCCCTTCCTGCCCTGCACAGTCCGAGGGCTCCCTCCCTGAGTGGAGGGAGGCTTGCACATTTTGGACTGAAGGACAACCGGGAATGACAAAGTTCTAATGCCTGCCGCTTCCCTCGGAAACAGTGCTGTGGGTGGTGGCTGCGGGTCTCAAAGGGGCATCTGACCAGGTCTCCTGGGCCTGCCCCCGTCACAGCAGTGGCCGCATCTCAGCCTGTGGCATGACCACGGCCAGTCTCCTGAGACCCACTGGCTCAGCATCCCCAGAGATCTCCACCAGCTTCCTGTGCTGAGCCTCAACCAGGGGGCTGGGGACGGGTCCCAGGACACCTCTGTGCCCACGGAGGGCCCGAGGTGCAGAAGGACACAGGACAGACAGCCTCCCAGAGCTCTGTCAGAGCTGGTCCCCCCCAGGGTGCCTGGTGTGTGTGTGTGGGGGGGCAGTGGATAATAGTGGCCCCAGAGAGAGCCAGAGCTGGAGGTCTGGGTTGGGACACGTCAGAGCCCGCCTGGGACGCCCTGGGTGACAATGACCCAGGCTCTGGCCTCTCCTCCCCGGCCCCTCCCAGCGGCCCTCCCGGCCCAGGCGCTGAGAGCTGGGGGGACCCCTGGGAGCTCCGAGCAGCAGGGCCGGCACCCTGCTGCTCGGAGGGCTGCACCCACAGGCAGGTGTGTGGGCGCCCGTCCTGTCTGCAGCCTGGCCCGGTGGGCTGAGTGGGGGGTGCTTGTCCTGATCCCCCCTTCAGGGCCCTCCGCGCTGGGGCTTCATGGGTGTAGCCAGGGCTTCTGGAGACTTCTCAGGAAATGAGCGACTTCATCCCACCCCCTCGGAGGGGTAGAAAGCAGCAACGCCTGCCTGCCGGGGCACCCCTGAGGAAGCTGGAGGTGGAGGGGCTCGGGGAAAGACAGCCCCCCAACCCACCCTGTATCCGGGGGGCCACCGCTGTGACCACAGATTTTGCATAGAAAACATTTCCGAGCCTCCACCCTGCTCTGTCCGCAGCGCTCACACCCCCGTCCCCACGCCCATCTGGGGCAAATTTAAATCCGGGTTGGAATTGCGGCGGGGGCGGGGCGTGTGCGCGCCGGGCCTCTTAAGGTCCGCGGGGCAGTTCGTCGCGGGCGCTATGAGCTCGGCGGGCCTCTTAAGGTCCGCGGGGCAGTTCGTCGCGGGCGCTATGAGCTCGGCGGGCGCGCGGAGGGCCCTGTGCGGGGTGGCGCTGCTCTGCGCGCTGGGCCTGGGCCAGCCCCCCACCGGGGGCCCCAGCTGCGGCGCCGGCCGCCTCCTGCGCGGGGCCGGGACAGACAGGCGCTGCTGCCGCTCCTGCACCTCGGGTAAGACGGGCCCCGGGGCGGGGACCGGAGGGGGGGGCAGCGCGGGATCCCTCCCCATTCAGCCTTGGCGGCTTTCACCTGGGGAGGGTGGGCGCGGGGCAGGGTGACCGGACCGAGGTAGGATCGCAGGATCGCGTCCAGGGGACCGCGGTAGGGAGCAGGGGCGGAGGAGGGAGTCGCTCTAAAGGGTGCGCTCCAAAGAGTCGCTCCAAAGTCGCTCCCAGGTGGGGGAGGGCTGCCCTGGCCCTGCTGAGCGGGCGAGGGAGCCCTTGGCCACCTTGCAGGCCACCTCCTGCCCAGTGTGGGGTCCCAGCACCCCTTCTGCCCTGCCCCCTGCCCCTGCCCAGCAGCCCTGGGGGAGTCAGGGGCAACCAGAATGAGGAGCTTCTTCCTGACAGGCCTGGGGGTGGGAAGAGGGTACTCTGGGGGTCCCCGTCTCAGTGTGGCTGGTGCAGTGGACGGCAGGTGGCCGCCCAGGTGCTGATGGGCTCAAGGGGGCTATGCAGGGTGGAGAGTTGGGGGGGGTGCAGGCCCAGGCCCATGGTCCTTAGGAGGCCCCAACAGGGACTGGCATCCGGTCACAGGGGAGGTCACAGCCACTGGGGCGGGGCAGCCAGGCCACAGGCCTGAGAAGCTGGGCAAAGCCACGGGTGCTCACCCCGGTTCTTTCTGCCCCTGGGGCTGGCTGAGGGTAGGGACCTGACATCCCCACCCACCCCCACCTGAGGGCTGGAGGAGCCCTAGAGGGCATGCTCGCCTGGCTGCTGAGAGCCGGCCTGTCCCTGCCCAGGCCAGCAGGGCTGCTCTGAGTGGGACTGCACGTGTGTCCAGCCCGAATTCCACTGCGGAGACCCTCAGTGCAAGACCTGCAAGCACCACCCCTGCCCACCGGGCCAGAGGGCGCAGCCCCACGGTGAGTCCCCAGGGGCTGGGGCTTTGAGCAAGGGTGTGGGGGGGCTCCGAGCTGGAGCTCGGGGAGCAGTGTGTGGGGGGTGTGGGCACAGTGTCCTGGGCCCGGCTCGGCTGGGCAGGCCACCAGCAAAGCTGGCGGGCAGCTGTGTGTCCTCCCTGCCCACGACTTGGGCTTCTCTGTCTGGAGCTCAGGCCTGGCTGGGAGGGCCGGGGCGTCCAGGGGCGGCCTGGCTCTCGGGCCCTGGCTCTGCTGTCCTGTCCATCTTCACGGGAACAGCTGGATGGAGCCTGCCCTCTGTCCCCAGGAGTCCACTCTGGGGTCTGGGGATAGACTCCTGGGGGGGGTGGGCAGGGGCAGGGTGTGGGCTCACCCTCTCTCCAGGACCCTCCCCAGACTCCAGACTCCGCCCTCCACGGGCTGCACCAAGCCTGGGGCGTGGCCTGGCTCCTGCAGGCAGGCAGCCCCTTCCCCCTGTGCCCCAGTCTGCCTCCCACCCCGACACCGGTCCTGGAGCTGGCAGACGTGGCACCAGCTTACCAAGGGCCGGGGGCCGTGGGCGTCGGAGACCTCTGCTGAACGGATGGCGTGGGGCCATTCTTCCTCTATGGACTCCGCCCCCAGACGGTCCCCGTCCTCGCCTGACCCCTCCTCACCCATCATCACAGCCCCATAGCCTGTCTGTCCATCTGTCCCCAGGGAAATTCATTTTGGGCTTCCAGTGTGTTGACTGTGACGCGGGGACTTTCTCCGAGGGCCGAGAGGGCCGCTGCAGGCCGTGGGCTGAGTGAGTCTCGGGGGGCCTTCCGGTGGCCGGGCGGCCGAGGGCAGCCCGCCCTGTCCCTCCCAGTGTGGTGACCCCACAAACGGCCTGGAGAGCAGCAGCCCGCCAGGAGGGCTGCCTGGGCGGTCGGGGGCTGACCGAGTCTGTGTCCGTGTGTCCCAGCTGCTCCCAGTTTGGGTTCCTCACCACGTTCCCTGGGAACAAGACCCACAACGCCGTGTGCACCCCGGAGCTGCTGCCCGCAGAGCCTCGCGCCCCGCTGGCCCTGGTGCTGCTTGCTGTGGCCACCTGCATCCTCGTCCTGACCATGGCCCAGCTCGGGCTGCAAGTCTGTCAGCTGAGAAGGGAGCACGCGTGGCCCCGAGGTCAGTGGTGCAGTTGTGCCCGGGGGGAGGTGAGCCCCTGGCCGCCCGCTGACCGCAGCCCTTTGCAGAGACCCAGCTGCTCCTGGAGGCGCCACCGCCGGCAGAGGATGCCTGCAGCTGCCAGTTCCCTGAGGAGGAGCGGGGAGAGCAGCTGGCAGAGGACAAGGGCCAGCCGGGAGACCTGTGGGTGTGAGCCTGGCCGTCCTCACGGTCTCCAGCAGCCGGAGCCTGAGCCGGACCCTCTCCGGGAGCTCACCTAGGCTGAGCCTGGGAGCAGGAGTTCCGTGTCCTGCTCTGGGCCTGGCCCTGCTCCCCTGACGGCAGAAGTGGGTGCAGGACGGAGACTGGGACAAGCCCCCAGACCATGCAGAAGGGCAGCGGCCGTGGCTGGGCCCTGCAGGAGGGACAGATGCAGCCGTGGTTGCCTCCCCCCATTGCTGGCCCTGCCAGGGTAGGGTCTGTGGGCCTCTCAGCCCCAGGATGGGGCCCTGCCTGGGGGCGTGCAGCACAGGACCTGGCTGCAGGTGGTGTCCAATAAACACTTGTTCAGTGACCTGGGTGGACGTATACTGGGGACCGGTGGGGACAGGGAGCCCAGGGCCATGCCCACTGTGGCCATGGTCCCCTCCACAGGGGGAGGGGGGCCATCTTTGGAGCTCCCAGTTCTGGAGGGTGTGGGGCACAGCTGGGGCCCACTCCAGTCCTGGGCACAGCACTCGGTGGGGACCATGGGGCTCGGTGGGCTTCCTAGGGGAGGGAGAGGCACTAGACACCGGCCTTCGGGGCTTCTGTGTCCAAGCCCTTCCCCTGACCGTGTGCCCGGCACACATGGGGACAGCTGAGTTCTGGGCCTGTGGTCCCGGGGCCTCCACCACTCAGGACAGCCTGGAGACTCTGGTTTCTGGCCGCACAGCCTGCCAGCCTTTCAGGCTCCTGCTCTTGCCTCCCTGCCCAGAGCCCAGGGCTCGGTCAGCTTCCACACCTAGCACTTTCTGGGGCCCCGCCCAGGAAACAGCCTCCCAGCCTTCTGGCCCTGACTGGCTCCTGGCTCTGACAGGGGCTGCTGGCACAGCCCTGCAGGGACAAGTGAAGGGAGCTTGATCTCAGCAGCACCCTCCTGGCCACCTGGCCTTGGCCCCAGCGCCCCATCCCCATGATGTCCCCTTGTCCCAGCAGCCTTCATCCCCCCAGCCCCCAGCACGCCCTGGGCAGAGGGCAGTGGGCACAGCTCACAGCAGGTCAGTGGAAAAGAGGGCACCGCTTCTGTGGGACCCAGAAAGTGAGGAGCAAGGCCAGGCAGGGCTGCTGGGAATGTGCCGGAGAGTGGGCAGTGGGCGGTGGGCAGTGCCTCCTACTCCCGGGAGGAGGGGCCTCCACATCTCATTTAAGACTTTACTCCTGGCTGGGCGTGGTGGCTCACGCCTGGAATCCCAGCACTCTGGGAGGCTGAGACAGGAGGATCCCTTGAGGTCATGCATTGGAGACCAGCCTGAGCGAGACCCCATCTTTACTAAAAATAGAAAAAAATTAGCTGATCATGGTGGCGCATGCCTGTAGTCCCAGCTACTCGGGAGGCTGAGGCAGGAGGATCGCCTGAGCCCAGGAGTTTGAGGTTGCTGTGAGCTAGGCTGACGCCACGGCACTCACTCTAGCCTGGGCAACAAAGCGAGACTCTGTCTCCAAAACAAAAAAGACTTGACTCTTGTGAGAAACACCTCATCAGGCGAGCTCAGGCTCTGCCCGCTCCTGGAGGGTAAGACACAAAATTAGCTCATTGATAAGAAAATGCCTGGCGGGGAGGGACTGGGGACAGAGAGGCAGTCGGTGCGCGCCAAGCCTGCGCAGGTGTTCAGGGAAGAGGCCCCGGAGAGGAGAAGACAGAACCGAACGCGCCCGGGACCTGCTCGCGCACGACGGCCGCCCCCGCGCGCCCCTCAGCCCCCTCCGCCTGCTCCCTCCTGGTGCCGCGCCGGCCCCGCCCCGACGGGAGGGCGCTGCCGGCGGATCTTCCCCAGAAAGCCCCGGGCCCGCCCGCGCGCAGGTACCGCAGCGGGGCTGACTCAGCGCGGAAACTCCTCGCGCATCGGCCCGGGCGTCAGCGCGGGGCGCGGGGGATTCCCCTCGGGGCGGCCCCACGCTCGGGCTCTGGGAGGGTCTCCAGCGGGACCTGGGCGGCTCCACGCTGAGAAGGACGCGTGCACAGCCCCGGGACGGCCGGCGGGGCCCACGCGTGGGTGCGCGGAGGCTCCCACCAGGGGGTTGGGGTAGGAGGTGGCGGCGCTCAGGGCTGCCTGCCCGCGCGGAGACTGGGGGTGCTGGGATGAGGAGCTGTAGCGAGACCCACCCACCCCCCTTCAGAGGCCTCAGCTTCCTGGGGTGGGGGCAGGTGTTCGCCCCCTGCACAGCCTGGCGCCTCCCCAGGGAGAGAACTTGCCTCTCCCGGCCTGCCTCTGGCCCCACCCTAGCGGCCTCCAGCTGTTTCAGGAAGCGCCAGCTCACCACGCCCCTAGGGTGTATTTTGTTCAGCCTCAGATAAGAGCCCAGAGGCCATCTCTGTTCCCAGAAGTGCTTCCGGCGACAGGGGCAGCTCCCCAACCCAGCCCCAGCCCTCCCTTCCTGAGGTGGAGACTCAGCCAGCCTGGGACCCTGTCCCCAGTGGACAGAGAGACCTATGGCGGGGTCAGGGAGGGGACCCCTTCCCAGATGAAACTTGACACCAGCCATTCGCAACCCTCATCCTAGGAAAGGTGCAGGGTGCCCTTGAGGGGCAGATGGTCCCTGGCTGTCCCCAGCTACTGGGATCCGTGCCGGATGACCAGGTGGGCACAGATGCCAGGCCTGGAGACTCAGGGGCCTTGTCCCCGGCCACCACACCCTCCCCTCCCCTCCAGGGCTCAGTCCCCTCAGCCAGGCCCCCACCTCCCTGTGTCTGGGGTGGGCAAGGAGGCAGACACCTGCCTCCCATGAATCTCATCTTCCCAGGAATTGGGCCCTTCTTACAGAGTCCCACGGGAGGGGGCCTGGAGCAGGTGGGGGTAAGGGGAGCCCCACAGAAATGCAGCCTCCAGGCCGAGCGCGGTGGCTCACTGCTATAATCCTAGCACTCTGGGAGCCCGAGGCAGGCGGATTGCTCAAGGTTAGGAGTTCAAAACCAGCCTGAGCAAGAGCAAGACCCCATCTCTACTATAAATAGAAATTAATTGGCCAACTAATATATATATAGAAAAAATGAGCTGGGCATGGTGGTGCATGCCTGTAGTCCCAGCTACTCGGGAGGCTGAGGCAGGAGGATGGCTTGAGCCCAGGAGATTGAGGTTGCTGTGAGCTAGGCTGACGCCAGGGCACTCACTCTAGCCTGGGCAACAAAGTGAGACTCTGTCTCAAAAAAAAAGAAAAGAAATGCACCCTCCAACTCCCCAGGGCTCCATGGCTCTGTCTGCCCGGGTCCTGGCTGAGGGAGGCCCCAGTGGGGGCTGAGGGTGGGGTCTGTGCTGGCTGCCCCCAAGACAGAGGCTGCAGTGCTGGAGACAGGAGGGCTGTGCGGGTCAGAGCTGGGCAGCGTGACTTCACACCCTCTGCAGGTGGAAGTCACTCCCTCAGTTCTCCACCCCTGGACCCCAGTATTCACCCCTGGAAGAGACGGAGGGGTGAGGGAGTGGAGGGGACAGGCAGGGGGAGGAGGAGGAGAAGGGTGGGAAAGAGTCAGAGCTGTTGGAGTGGGTCAGCTGTTGGAGCCCATGCACCTTGGATCTCCCTGTGAAGCCACCCGGCCCTGCTGCCAGCTCGGGCCCGAGAGGGATCCTGTCCACTTGTGCTGTGCCTGCAGCTGGTCACATCATTTGCCTATTGGGGGCACCTTGTACCTCCCAGATCCCCAGGGCCACAGGTGCTGGGGTGCCAAGATGCCCCACAGCCTGCCTCTCCCAGATGGTCCCTGCCACTCTGGGCTGGTGGGCAAGTGCACTGGGCTGGTGGGGCTGGGGAACCAGGGAGGCGCGAGGGCGTGGCCATTGCTTTTCTGGGAAGCCTTGTTTATTGATATTCAGGCCCTCAGTGGGCTCCGGGCCCAAGAGCAGCAGAACCAGTGCAGGCCTTTGGAGGAGCCCCAGGCTGGGGCAGGAGCTCAGGACAGGGCAGGCCGCTGTCAGCGTGTACTCCTCATCACGTCCCGAGTCCCCAGAAGTGACACATCCAACGATGGGGCTCCACTGTCCCGAGACAGCAGGGAAAGCCTCTCCGAAGGCTCGGGTGACCTCTACTGACAGCTTCAGGCCCCTGAACCTAGGGGGTGAGGAGAGCTGGAATGCTCCAGGACAGCCCGATGGCACCATGGGACACAGCCTTAACCAGGGACCTCCACACTTGCCATGAGGCTGCAGGTGGCACAGAGGCCCCGGGGTGTCAAGGCGGCAAGAGCCGGGGATTATGCCACGGCCATGCAGGCTCTGTGAACGCTACAGGGACCATGGGCCTGACCCCAAAGGGTAGGTGGGTTTTCCAAGATCTGACCCCTCTGGGCCCTCGGCGGGCTGCAAGGCAGCGCTTGGCCCCTCATGGAGGGCCTGCCACAGCTGTGCCAGGGGACTCAGGGCTCCTGCCCCTCGTCACAGCAGCACGAGCGAGCTGCCTGCCTCTCCCTGGGACCCCACAGCCGCAGGCCTCTGGGATGGGTAGGCGGGCAGCCCTCCCTCCTCACTGGGCTCCCTCAGGGCTCCGCACCCTGGACGCCCACCTCATCTCAACCCCAGCGCCCCCCACCCAGCCCTCCTCACCCCTGCTGTGTCTGGAGCAGTGAATGGCGGTGGAGGGCGGCCCCTAGCGGTGCCGAGGCAGCTGCACCCCAGCGCAAGGAGGTGCCCTCCCTGCAGCCCCTGGGGCCCAGCGTTGCTCTAGTGCAGAGCAGGGACCCGTCCTGCCACTCCTCTGGGCTCAAAGCAGGTCAGGAGTGTGTGACCCCCTTGGGGGCGGGGCTAACCCAACCCTGGGGTGTGGACTTGGGGCACAAGCTTTGTGGGCAGCTAGCTAGTGGGAGGGGCCTCTGTGCTCCCGCTTTGCCGGAGTCGGGGAGGTTGGGGTGGGGGAAGCTGCAGAGGGGGCCATGGCCCCGTCCGCTGGCGGTGGGGGGGTGTGCCTGGGCACCTCAGAAGCCCTGAGCTGTCAGAGTTCTCCTCCCAGACCCCCAGGCCCACGGGGACCAGGAGTGCTGGAGGCCACACAGGGACTGACCGGGCCAGTGCAGGCTCTCATGCGTCCTCCGTGGGCCTGTCTGTCATGGCCCACAGCCACAGCCAAGGTCCTGGGGCCTCTACAGGAAAACTGGGGGCTGGTGAGGCTGTGAGCACCCAGCCAGGTGGTCTGGGGCCGAGGAAGGAGCTGTGCTGGGCAGGCCGAGTGAGCTCCGTGAGGGGCCCAGGGGCCCTCCTTTTGGAGACCCAGAGGGGTTCCCGAACCTTTCTTGGGGACTCCAGGCAATAGTGATCGCAGCGCCAGGCTGTGGGGTTCGGGGGTTGTGGGGCTGCGGGAGGTCCGCGGGGGTGGGGGGCACAGACGGGTGGAAGCCCAGGACCTGCGGGGCTGCCCCACCGCGGAGCACAGGCCCGCAGAGGGTGGGGGCGCAGCCCCTTCCTGCAGGAGAGCCCCTAGCAGAGGAGTCGCCGCGGAAGCCCGGCAGGGGGCACCCCGGGGCGCGAGTGTGGCCTCCCGGACCGGTACCGAGGCCGAGTTTGTAACAAAGTAGCCTTTATCGGGCCCAGAGGGCGGTGGAGTAGCTAGGAGCCCCGGTGGCTGGTGCCCTTGCGCGCCTCCCCAGTTGTTCCCGTCCCCGGGGAGGGCTCCCGCGCCGGGTTCCTGCCGCCCGCTCGCGGCCGCTCGGCGCCCGGGGCCTGGGGCTTCCGTGCGGCGCCCGGCGGTGTCGGCGGTCGGGAGCGCCGCGCTTGCCGGAGAGGGGTCCGGGCTTGCGCGCCGCCGGGACCGGGTGGCCGGCCTGCGCGCGGCGGCGGCCGGTCTGCGGCGGACTGGCGGGCGGGACCGGCCTCGCAGGGGAGCCGGGGCGGCGGCAGCGGGCCGGGGAAGTTGCGCGAGCCCCCCAGGCGCGGCCACACGTCCGCCTCGCCGTTGTGGAGGAGCACGAAGCGGCGCTGCGACAGCAGTGGCAGCATCTTCTGGTTGTGCAAGCTCTTCTGGAAGGTCTCGAGCGCCAGGTCTGCGGGGCGTGGGGCACGGGTAAGTGGGGACCGGCGGGGACGGAGGAGCAGGAGCAGAGAGAGGCCGCAAGGGGCGGGGATGGAAGGTGGCGAAGCGGGGCGGGGCTGCCACACAGGCCCCTGGGATCCAGGAGAGCCACATCGGTGGGGATGGGAAGTGGGGGGTGAGCGTGGGAAGAGGGCAGTCAGTGGGGGCGTGTGGGAGGGTGTGGTGGTGGCCGCCGGCCAGGGGCTCACCCAGGGTCTCCACGACCACGCTTGGGATCACCTCCTTCAGGACTTCACAGTTGGTGTGCAAGGCGGGGTTGGAGTTCATCTCCAGCAGCCACACCTGGCGGGACACTGTCAGCATCTCTCCCCACCCACCCAGGGCCCACTTGGCCAGCTGGAGGCAGAGGCCAGGTCCCCATCCAGCCAGGTGACTCTGGAAAGATGGCTTCTTTTCTATGGCCCTCACTACCCCTGACTGCCCACTGAGGGTCTGGCGTGGGGGCTGCCCTGAGGTCGGGGTGCAGATCTGTCCCATTTGTGGTAGAAGCTCAGCCTCATGGACACACCCACCCCCAGGGCTGGGTGCAGGCAGGGTGGGGTCTGACCTCGGGGTCCACTCCAGGGGCCTATCTGTGTGGTCAGGGTGCACAGGTGGCCCCTGCCTCCTCGCACCTGCCTACCAGACCCAACCCACCCAAGACAGCACCTTGAAGTTCTCATCAATCAGGAAGTCACAGCCAATGAGGTCGAAGTAACCCAGCTTGCCCTCGAGCTTGGATTTGACCGCCAGGAAGCAGTGGGCCATGATCTGCTGCATCCGCTTCTGTGAGTGAGGCAAGGCGGGGAGGTCTTCCTGATTACCCCGCCCAGGCCTGGACAGCCACAGTCACCCCTCACCTGCACGCCCACCTGCGTGTGTGTCCTCACCTGTGCTCCACCTGCACCTGTGCTTGCTCAGCCACACCTGCCCACACTTCTGCCCTGTGAGGCACAGGCTCACAGCCAGAGACTCACCCTAAGCACTCACGGAGTTGCGACTGCACGGCAGGTACCGGGGATAGGAGAGTGGAGAAAACACAGGAGAAATCTCCGCCCTCAAACCATTCACTCTTAGTAGGAGAAACACACAACAAACGGACATGCAAAACCTTGAATCTTGGTAACAGCCATGAGCCTTGTTGTATTTTAGCTTGCTCTAGTTATGTTTGCTTCCCACCTCAGTGGTGGTCTTGAGAAATAACAGCCTGCATCCCCAGGACCGGAGATAGCAGAACAGACCGCAGGTGCAGAGAACTGCCCGGTGTCCCTTGGAAGACCCCATTTGAAAGCACTAAAGGAAAGTATGAAGATGATGTCTCACCAAATAGAGAAAGTCAGTGAAGAGACAGAAATTATAAAGGGGAACAAAATAGAAATTCTGGAGTTGAAAAGTAGAACCGGCTATGCGAGGTGGCTCATGCCTGTAATCCTAGCACTTTGGGAGGCTGAGGCAGGAGGATTGCTTGAGGCCAGGAGTTCAAGACCAGCCTGGGCAACATAGTGAGACTTCGTCTCTATAAAATATAAAAAAGAGAAATTAGCCAGGCATGGTGGTGTGCACCTGGAGTCCCAGCTACTCTAGCGGCTGAGGCAGGAGGATCGCTTGAGCCCAGGAGTTCAGGGCTACAGTGAGCTACAATCACACCACTGAACTCCACCCTGGGTGAGAGAGTGACAACCTGTCTCAAAAAAAAAAAAATCCAACTTAAGTGCCATCAATTGATGAGTGGATAAAGAAAATGTGGTATATATTTTTATACACGCACATCCCATGGAGTACTACTTAGTCGTAAAAAGGAATGAGATAATGTTTCTTGCAGCAACTTGGATAGAACAAGGGACCGTTATCCTACCTAAAGCATCTCAGGAATGGAAAAACAAACTCTGCATGTTCTCACGTATAACTGGGAGCTAAACAAAGGATATATAAGGTCATGAAGAGGCATGATGGACATTGTAAACTAAGAAGGGGGAAGGAGGGAGGGGCTGAGGGATAAAAATCTACCTCTTGGGTACAATGTGCACTATTCTGGTGCCAGGGACAGGGAAAGCCCTGATTTCAGCATGATACAATTCATCCGTGGACCAAAAACAAAGAAAAAGTGTAACTGAAATAAAAATTCACTAGAGGAGCTCAGCAGCATATCTGAGTTGTTTGAAGATAGGTCCGTTGATATTATCTAGTCTGGGCCGGGCGCGCGCCGTAGCTCACACCTGTAATCCTAGCACTCTGGGAGGCCGAAGTGGGCGGATTGCTCGAGGTCAGGAGTTCAAAACCAGCCTGAGCAAGAGCGAGACCCCGTCTCTACTATAAATAGAAAGAAATTAATTGGCCAACTAATATATATAGAAAAAATTAGCCGGGCATGGTGGCACATGCCTGTAGTCCCAGCTACTCGGGAGGCTGAGGCAGGAGGATGCTTGAGCCCAGGAGTTTGAGGTTGCTGTGAGCTAGGCTGACGCCAGGGCACTCACTCTAGCCTGGGCAACAAAGTGAGACTCTGTCTCAAAAAAAAAAAAAAAAAGATATTATCTAGTCTGAGGAACAGAAATAAAAATGAATGAAGAGAAATAAAACCTCAGAGATCTGTGGGTGGGACACCATCAAGTGGACCAACATATGTACAATGGGAGCCCCAGAAGGAGAGAAATGAGCATAAAGAATGTTTGAAGAAATGATTGCAGAAAACTTCCCAATTTGAGGAAAACATTAATCTACACGTTCAAGAACCTCAATTAACTCAAAGTAGGACAAACTCCGAGATCTGCCACATCATAGGCAAGCTTTCAGAAGACACAGAGAAAGAGAGAATGTTGAAATCAGCGAGAGAGAAGCAACTCATGATGTACAAGGGGTCCTCGTGCAATAAGATTAACAGCCAGTTTCTCATCAGAAATCGTAAGTCCAGAAGGCAGCGGGTGACATAGTCACATTGCTGGAAGTAAAAATAAAACAAACACCTGTCATTATTTGCTGGATAATCCTTTATCCAGCAAAACCATCCTTCAAAATTGAAGAAGTTAAGACATTCCCAGATAAATAAAAAGAGAGGTAGACCTGCCCTACAGTCCTTTGAGTTGAAATGAAAGGTCACTGGACAGCAATTTGAATTCATATGAGGAAATAAAGAACCCCAGGAAAGGTACCTACATAATTAAGTATAAAAGACAGTGTAAATGTATTTTCGTTTGTAATCATTTTTTTCCTAAAGATAACTGCATAATACAATAGTTATAAGTCTGTGCTGATAAACACAAACATATAGAGCTGTAATTGTAACAGTCACACCATGAAGGGGGATGGAGCTACAGAGGGGCTGCAATGTTTTTGTATACTATTGAAATTAAGTTGGTAGTAAGGCAAAGTAAATTGTTATAAATTAAGATGTTAACGGTAATCCCCAGGACAACCACTAAGAAAATAACTCAAAAATATACAGTCAAAGCAATATTGACAATAGCGCGGTCCGGCTGGCTCGACGCGCCTGTAATCCTAGCACTCTTGAGAGGCCGAGACGGGCGGATTGCTCAAGGTCAGGAGTTTGAAACCAGCCTGAGCAAGAGGGAGATCCCGTCTCTACTAAAAATAGAAAGAAATTAATTGGCCAAACTAACATATATAGAAAAATTAAACCGGCATGGTGGCGCATGCCTGTAGTCCCAGCTACTCGGGAGGCTGAGGCAGGAGGATGGCTTGAGTCCAGGAGATTGAGGTTGCTGTGAGCTAGGCTGACACCAGGGCACTCACTCTAGCCTGGGCAAAAAGTGAGACTTTGTCTCAAAAAAAAAAAAAAAAAAAAAAGAAATGACAAGGTAATTAAAATACTAGAAAATATCTATTTAATATAATAGATGGTAGTAATGGGGGAATTGAGAAACCAAAAAAGATTTAAGACATATATAGAAAACAAATAGCAGATGTGAATCCTACCTAGTTAGTAATTATGTGTTACATTTAAATGGATTAAAGTTTCCAATTAACAGACAGACTGGCAGAATGCATAAAAAGACCAGAGACTCACTTTATTTATTTATTTTTTTGAGACAGAGTCTCACTTTGTTGCCCAGGCTAAGAGTGAGTGCTGTCAGCCTAGCTCACAGCAACCTCAAAACTCCTGGCTCAAGCAATCCTGCTGCCTCAGCCTCCCGAGTAGCTGGGACTACAGGAAATGCTGCCACATGCCTGGCTATTTTTTCTATATATATATATTAGTTGGCCAATTAATTTCTTTATATTATAGTAGAGACGCGTGGTTCGCTCTTGCTCAGGCTGGTTTCGAACTCCTGACCTTGAGCAATCCGCCCGCCTCAGCTTTCCAGAGTACTAGGATTACAGGCATGAGCCACCGCACCCGGCCAGAGACTCACTTTAGATTCAAAGACAAAAATAAGTTAAAAGTAAAAGGATGGAAAAAGACATACCATGCAAACAATAACAAAAAGACAGCTGGAGTGGCTCTACTGATATCAGAGAAAATTGAGACAAAAATTGTTACTAGGGTAAAAAATATTTTATAGTGATAAATCAAGAAGATGTGATAACTATAAACATACATGAACCCAATGACAGAGCCTCAAAATACACAAAGCAAAAACTGACAGAACTGAAGGGAGAGATATACAATTCCATGTCCCACTTTCGATAATGGACAGGCTGTATAGACCCAAGATTAACACGTGAGTAGATGACTGGAACAGCTCTATTAAACCAAATGGACCGCACAGACATCTGTAGAGCACTGCCCGCAACAACACATGAGTAACCAAAGGAAAACAACAGGTAAATGGA